CGATATTTACATAATACAACTTTATTATTACTTTGTATCGTTACGGTTATCATTGTTAGCAGTGCTATTTCTTTTCGTTACGTTGCCTTATTACCAACGTTTTTTTCAGATGCCGTAGTGTATAATACTGTCTTTCAACCATTTTACTCTCTCGTCGTATTTAACAGAGCCGCCTAGTAATATGGCATGAGACCGGGAGTGGCCCAATGGTTAGGCTGCCCGGACCGTGAATCTGAGGGTTCACGGATTGCGCAGTACTGTACTCTACGCTTTGGGCGGTGGGTGCGCTATGAAAGTGACTGGCCAAATCCTACTATTCGGCCAGACGAGAGTAGCTCGAGAGTTGGTAGTGGGGGCTGTTGACCGTAGCTACCTTCCGGTCTGTTAATTTAAATTTCAAAACGGCTATGCGCAGATATCCATTTGTGTAGCTTTGCGCAGAGATTCTGAACAAAGTAACATGACGCATCCCACGTTCTGCTGAAGGAAATACGTGATCTGTAGACATCATGCGATACTTTAATTAAATTTAAAATAAAAAGTTCTAGAGTAAGTTATGTCAGTAAGGTATTTATTTTAAACGTTTAATATTTTTTTATTAAAAGCCATTCAGTGAGAATTTACTAAATCAATACCATCCAAAACTTATTGTTTATTTATAAATATTGCAAGGAAGTGAAGTGTGGGAGGTGCAGAAAAAACTGTTCAGACTGCAATCATGTCGATTCCTGTATTTTGCGTAGCTAGCGACGTCTATCGATACAAGATATTACTTTATTTATTTATATTTGCTCCTGCCCAAGTTAGCTAAAGCTATAATTGTTGTATCATACTCTATGTAACTTTCTTACGTCAGCTTTCCTCTATTTGTCCGTTTTTAAATGGATCAGTCGTGACCAAGTAGTTAGCGTGTCGACTGTGGATCTCAGGTTCCGTGACTCGTGTCCTGTTATCGTAAAAATCACATTATTATTCGACCAGACTAGTCCAAGAGTTGGCACTGTAGACAAGCCGTCTTCTCTTTAGTCTGACAGTTAAAAATTACCACAGACAGCTCTTAAGCGTAACTTTATGTGAATATCAGAATTAAACCAACATTTTTTCAAACAAACGTGGGATTAATAGTAGAGCTTTACACTGTTTGTGTTTCAATTAACAGTCGAGTTCAGAACTAAATAACTAAGTGGTCAGGTCAGAGAACCCAAAGTTCAGACATAGTTGTTCCTAACTTTGAAGTTTTGAATAGAGGGAGGACGATGTCAGCGGCGCCAGTAGTCAACACAGCTGATATTCACCTAATAACGTGATTGACTGCTACTTTAATAACGCGCCCTCAACTGGGGAGCGTATTCAGTGATACGTCACAGACTCGAATTTTGGGCATTCCGATACCATAGCCTGGTGGTCAGGGCACACTACTCGCAATCTGCGGGCCGCGAGTTCGATTCTTATCACCTAACATGCTGTTTCAGCTGTGGGGGGTGGTACAGTGTGACGGTCAATCCCATTTTTCGTTGGTAAAGTAGTTGGCGATGGATGGTATTGACTAGCTGCCTTCTATCGCTTCCGAATTAGAGACAGCAAGCGCAGACAGCACTCGAATAGCTTTGTGCGAAATTCAAGAAACATACAAACCCAGCGAAACGTAGCCCGGCACTCTAACTTCTAGTGCTCCCCCTCCCCACAGTACCTTCCGATTCTAGATAACGTAGCTCGGCATTCTAACTTCTAGTGCTCCCCCTCCCCACAGTACCTTCCGATTCTAGCTAACGTAACCCGACATTCTAACTTCTAGTGCTCTCCCCTCCCCACAGTACCTTCCGATTCTAGCTAACGCAACCCGACATTCTAACTTCTAGTGCTCT